AAAAAAAAAAAGAACAGAAAATTAAATGGGTTAAAACTTTATTTTCATGTTATGACAGCGCATGTTATCAAACGGCCGGGTGGAGTCTCCTGCTCTACCTAAAAGCGAAAGTAGAAGAAAGGAAAATTCCAGATGGGGGTGACTGGTAGTGCAACTAGGTCTTCAACCTTCTAATTGAAGAGCTAAGTTCCCCGTCTTTCAACAACATGGCATTTGGGTCCATATTTCACAAAAATGACGGCAAATTTACATGGGACTATTATTAAGGATCCGTTTGATTTCAAGTATGAAATTTGTAGAAAATAAATTATAAGTAATCCAATTGCCTGAAAATTATTTGTATGAAAATTATTATTTAATTTGTTTGATTGATTTAATTTTTAATTTAGAAAATATTATATTTGTCTATTTCTTATTAGTGAGCACATGAGACAAGTGGATAAATAAGAAAGAGGGAGAGAAGTAAATTATCTGAAAAATAAAAATCATGAATCTCTAAAAAAAAATATTTTTCTTATTTTTGAGGAAAATACGATAACTTGACCAAAAGTTGGAAAATATTTTTCGTGGAAATATTTGTCAATCAATTTTTTTGCGGAAAAATGACATTTTTCGTGAAAAATAAAGTCAATCAAATACAATCTAATAAATCTTAAAAGAGGCAAGTTTCAAACATCAACATACAATATTAACTGAAAAGAGAAGGGATAAATCAAAGCCATTTTATTAGAAAAGTCAAGGAGATAAACAGCCAGCAAGACAATTCGTGCTCTTAAAATAGAGCACTACAACAGTTCGGTGAATTTTTCAGATTAGCATCTAGGAGTTGGCACGCCACAGATGTTAGCAACCCTTCTGGCATTGGGAGAGTTAACATACTGACTCAGGCTTGGATTTCTTATATACCCACAAAGGCAAGGCTCCTGCTCCTTCAGCTTTCTGCAGCAAGTATCTGATGGAGGCAGCGACATCATTATTGCCCCCGCGCACGAGCTCAGCTCTAGCGGGCTGCAATTGACCGCCTCCGTCACTTGTAATTTTCCAACAAACAGAACCACCACTGCCAAGCACAATGCAAAGCTCATTGCTGTCTTCATCTTCAAAGTGGGCAATGATATAAAGAATTAATCCAAGAAAGTTACGCGATTGTTGTATTTTGGAATGAAGAGATGTCCTGCAATTTATAGAAACCAGGGTCTGATTACCAAGATGAGTCGACTAGTGAGCATAGGGAAAGGTCCAAATTGAGAAAAGATGTTGGAAGCAACACCAACGAATGGATGGAACAGCCATTAATAGTCCTCGACTCCAGTGTCTATCTATAGCATAGAATCTGTTGGTAAGCGCAATCAATTTAGGATTAAATGCAAACTGAGTACCTTTTTACAGTCACACACTTCAAGGCACATTCAAGAATGAGACCGTATTGGATGTGTTGGAAAATGGTGAAATGGGTCAATTTTGAACCCAAATTTTAGTGGGACTCCTACCTTAATTTTAACGGTACCTAGTATATTCACGTTCTACTCCACTAGGCGATTAACATGATATATTTATTTATCAAAAATTATTTAGAATTGAATGAAATAGATAATGTCAAAATAACATATATGAAACTATGAATTAGGGAAAATTTTGATTTGTTAAATACTTATCTCACGTAGGAAAGTTAGAAAAACTTTGGCATGATTTATATGGTGGAAGTTTGGAAATTGGGTTTGGGCCCCAAAGAATAACAATAGTCTTTGGAAGGGGGGAGTCCTATATCCTATCGAGCACAGTCATAAGCCCACACACGTGCGCCACCGTCGTCGTTCGGACAAATTTTTTTCGAAGTTTTGGACCAAATTGTAAGTAATCAAATTCTTGGATAGCTAATGAAATTTATTTTGATTGACTTATTTTCGGGTAATTTTTTGGTCAGGGTGATCTATTAACCGACTAAACAGTCGATCGCTAACCAACTTAACAGGCGCAGTATTGAACTAAGTTGTCTATTCTAGTTTTGGAAGCTATCCGAATAGTGACGACTGTTCTAAAAGATATTTGAATGGCTACGAACGAGCCTATAAATAGCTTACTCCGTTGTCAGAATGATTACACCATTTTCATTGTGAACATTCTTAGCTTTGAATCTCTCCCCTGTCTCGTTCTGATATTATTTTTGAAGTGAAAATACTTCATTGTGCTTGTTGGAACTCCTACAAATTATTGTGCTACTTTCGTAGGAGACGAAATTCGTTCTATCCTTAAAAATGATTGTTGGACGCTTTTAGCACCTTTAAAGGCAGCAAATTCTTTTTAAGGAAATATCGTGAAGTCGGTAGACTCAAATTACATTTTTTGATCTTGTTGATCGTATTGTTACGTTGTACAAATTACATTAAGAGAATTTTTTCAGATTGTTTAGAAGAAAAAATTCATACTCCAGAAACAACCGAATGTTCTATTTTGGAAGAAAACACTCCCTAGCATTCAATTTAAAACTCCAATGCGTTCCAAGTAGGCGATTATTCCACAAATATGCATAAATTCTTTCTCAAATTTTTTTCTTATGTTTTGATCGTTATTCAAATGATGAACTGCCGCAAAATTTCCAAACTCGTGATGGGAAAAAGTACAAAAAAATGCTATGCTATTACAAAAATAAAAAAGAATCAAACTGACCACGGTATTGTTACATAATAACTGTTCCTCTCTACTTCTTTTCCCATTCCTTCTCAATGGCTCGAGGAATTTTCCTCATTGCTCCTGCTTTAACAGTAAGAAACGGGTAGTTTAATCTGGTTGTTGGTACATCTTGGGATAGAAAGGCATGCCAACTATGACAATGACAATGTTTCAATGATTTTTAAAATTCAAAAGTGCGTTGTTTTCTTCATAAAGGGGTAGACAAGTATTTTAACCTCACATAATTATTGACTCTTCAAATTGACAAGGTAGTAATTTATCAGGTTGATAAAATGGCAAATGAATTTCGATGGCTCCAGTAGGCAAGGTGGTGTTGGAGCATGACACGACCCGTCCCGAATCATCCTAATAGACCCGATACGTGTCGTGCGCCGATGGTAGATACCAGCTAAGTGCTGGACCCACCATCAATGCAACTTTGACCTGTTTTGACTATAATATACTTTGTAAAAATTTTGGCAGAGTACCCCCTGAATTATGGACTAAAACCACCTGAAATATATAATCCAATATTCCAAACAGATGCGTATAGTTTAAAATAGGGTACACTGGACCATAAAATATCAACTATTCAAATACAACACTAGCAATTCGACCTTTGCAACAATTTATAAATCCCACTACCCAAAATGCATAATATATACAAAACATGGAACTAATTTCTGACCAAAAGAAGTGTCTATCCCAAAATATGAACTATTAAACTGATAAGATGAGTCATACAATATTTAACAATCTATGGGTCAATCCAATAGATCAACTGGCCCAGTAGTGCTCAACTCAGTTACTATTTGATAAGAGAAATTGTGATAAAAATATGAGCCTATAACTCAGTAAGTGGATATTCCGTAAGTAAATATATATTTTCTAGATATGCCAACTTTCTGAAAACTAGTATATAATAAAAATGTTCTTTTATTGCACTATAAGCTAAAACATTTATTCTTTAAATTGAAATGACTAAATTCTCTGATCTGAAAACTGATGAATTGCAATTTACTGAAATTCACGCCAAAAAGATACCCGGAATAACCTTACTTATGTATCAGTTAGTACCAATATACATGGCAGAGCTATTCGATTCTGTAATTCTGAAATTCTGAAATTCTTAAATTCTGGTCATAAGCGCGCAGAATTGAAATTCTGTAATTCTGGTCATACACTATGGAAACACATTCACAATAGTGCAGAGCGGATAAAATCACCATAACTGGTCATACACTGTGAAAACTGTGGAAACACATTCACACTAGTGCAGAGCGGGTAAAATCACTATTAACTAGTCATACACTGTGGAAACGCATTCACACCAGTGCAGAATGGGTAAAATCACCTGAGTACTTTATGGTAGTTTTTAGAAATAACTTTAAATATTTTGAAACACGTAGTATCGTAAAACATGCTAATGAAATGATTTAACTAAACTGGATCAAACTTTTAAAACAACTATTTATAAATCAACTTTATTCTGAAAATCTTGCTATCAAATCAATTGTATGAAATAATAAATTTTCTGATTTAATATAAATTGAATAAATACTTATTGCTGAAAAATTAATTTTCATCCACTCACTCAATACGAGTTACAGACTAGGCCGGTCAGTAAGGTTTTCCAATTTCTTCGTCATCACCTGAAATACGTTACAAAAGAACTAATTTATCCTCTATTAAATCAAGAAACTTTAATATCTAATGATAGAACTTAAAATTAAATTTCTTGATACTTGAATAAATTCTCAAATTTTCCTTTATTAATTACAGCTAATCACACTTTACAATCTCTTTACTAATAACTAATTTATTAACATAACTTTCATTTCCAAGCATTACTGAGACAACCGACTTCATTCTAGTGACAACTAGGAGCTATAATTCAACCAATTAAATTTTCCTCCTGTTCCATAATTTCATGCTTCCAAATAATTATTTCCAAATCACCATCATTTTCACAAACACTACTTAATCCAAAAATCCCAATTAAAATTTCTAGGGTTTACTAAAATAATATTCCTTACCTAACTGAAATTGGAATTGAAGTAATCTCTAAACTTGAGCTCCAATTCATGTTTATCATACCTAAATTTGAAAATTTCTACTACAAGTTAAAACCCTAGAATTTTATCATAAATCTTACTTATCACTTGAAACAATTGAAAAAATTAAACCCAAACTTGAAAGGATTAACCTTACCTGGCGTCCTCTTCTTCCCTTTTCTTCCTTTCTTCCTTCTTTCTCTTTTTCTTCTCTTTTTTCCTTAGTTTTTCTCCCTCTTTCGGTCTCTTCAGCTCTCTGCCCCCTTTTTTCAATGTGCGCATGTGTGTTTTTGAGAGAAAATAGGTTAATTATAGTGATTTAATGGTCCACCTGCTAAATATTGCAAAATAAGTCCTTCAACTCTCTTTTCATAACACATTTAATCCTAAACTTCCAAAAATATAAAAGTAAATTCACAACTTTTAATTGTAACCAATTTTACCTTCATATATTGCCAATTGTAAACTAAACCCCAGTAAAATATTTAATTTCATTTTAGTCTTTAATTGACTTTGACATTGACTAGTCAATATTTGAATTTTTCACTATAAAAATTGAGTTGTAATAGGGCAGGTCGTGTTTTTTTCTCTCCTAATGAATGGTCTAGTTTCTTGTCTTGAACGATTGAGAGCCTTGATTCATGACCAGGTGTAGGTCGCAATCCGCAAAAGTCGCTTCAATTGGTAAGAATGTGGAAAAGAGCTGCCCTTAGGCCGAGAGACCTCTTTTTTAATCATACATTTAATTGGACTCGCAACTTTAAATGCGACCACTCGTCGAATAAGTGCAACACATTAGCAAGTTGGTTTAATATCTAACAATAATTTAATTAAAATTTATTATTGTATGTCGAGTGAGAGTTATTTAAGATTTAAGTCTTATTAAAATGTATAGGTTTGAAGAGAGTTAGTTTGGTTATAAAACTTTAGTTAGAATTTTTGTTTTAAAAAAATAAAAAAATAAATTCAAGTCCATTATTGAATAAAATTGATAAACATTAGAATTTTTTTTTTTATTCTGAATATTTTTGTTGTTGTCCTCATTTTATTCTATCTTCATTTGACCTGCTAATCGTGACAGCAGCAAATAGTAAGCAGTTTTACGTGGCTAACACCACACACACCCACACATACACACAGTCTCTCTTAGACCGGCTATCTTTGTTCTGTGCCGTCGGTTGCCATTGCAAACCCTTTTCTTTTGGTTTAGAATACACATTTCAGATTGCACAAGAATACCCTGTTTTATAATTAATTCTTTGAGAAAAAGTATTGTTGGATTAGTCGTAACATTCTAAATTATGTGAATTGTAGGTGCATGATTGTTTTTATATATCCTGTAAAGTCAAAAGTATAATACGTTTTTGGAAGATGTAAATTCTTTGATGGTGTTTTTAAGGTTCAACTTTTATGTATTGTGTATTTCCAGTTTCCATCATACAATAACCCGTAAATGATGTTTCAGCTTAAGGATCATGAAGTTCTGCTACAGTAAATGTTCCACTTGAAGTTAGTATTACACATATTTCCTTTTGTTTTATTTTATTTTTTTATAATTAAGTTGAATCTATCATTTTTTTTTTTAATTTTGTATAATCGTATAATTTGTCAATTCAATGGCTGAAAACTTTTGCAGTCACTAATGATTCGTTTTCTAAGCTCAGCTTGCCATTGATAAAATTCAAGAACCACCAGGTATGTAGAATTTATAGGATTATTAAATAAGAATGCACAATTCTTTCATTTAGATGCAAGGAAGATTGGTCATGGCTATTGAAATAATCTGTAACCTTAAATTAGTTGGTCAAAAAAATCAATTATTTTCTCTATGCAGTGATTTTACTTCCACTGATGCATGAATAATTGTTTATTTTTGGTTTTCAATCTTGCATTGCAATTGGGGACAATGCATGATATGTTTCCTATTAACATCCAAAATGGACACGAGAAGGAATATATGATGTAAATAATCAATTTAGTAAATGCATGATTTTTGGAGATTCAACATGGTCATTACATAAGAATAGCTTATAACTGGTAAAAATGATGCAGACAAGAATGAAGGTGTATGTTTTAATGAAGAACCTCATAAGAATGACATAGGAGCAAGAAGAGTTCTGCTATTATCTTTCATTATATCTACAATATTACTCTTTTCCTTGAGGAACCCTCCTTGTAACGACTCGAGCTTGTGCCTTTGCCTTTCTCTTACGTACTGTCCACTTTGATACCAAAATTCAACCTAAGTCTTTAATAAAGCATATGTCTTGAGTTTGAATTATGGGGAACACTATAGAAATCCTTGAGGGATAAGATGGGTACGGGCTCTCTCAAAGCAAGAAATACTTAAGCATGGATAGTTCGCAAAAAACATACGTTTGTCCTTTGCAAACCAAAAGGCATTATGTGAGGACACACATGCATGACTGTTTGATACTAATACTACTTGGAGTGATTATAGTCTTTCTTAATATAATCCATCCATTTTATTGCTTTGTTGGAAAAGATATGATGTCTGATCTCAAGTATCCCCTGAAGGACAACACAGTTCCTATATGGCTTGTGCCTGTAAGTTCATAATTTAATTGCTAATACAAAACCTGACTTATTTCTTCTTTATTTAAAGCCATTAATAGGATACCTTATATTATTTTTCTTATAAACTCTTTAGATAAATGCAGTGCCGTTGCCAATAGCAGTTTTTCTACTCTTCTATATTTGCCGCAGAGATGTCTACGATCTTCATCATGCCATATCAGGTGAATAATATTTTCACATCTGCAATTTTTTTATTAGGATTTGTACCAGTTAACAAAATCGAAGAGGATGATGTTGGCATTCTCTCATACTATGAAAGTGTTTGTGTTAGCAGAAGGATTCTATTCTCTGTCTTGATAACGGGTGTTTCTACTGATGCAATTAAGGATGCAGTTGGTCGCCCTCGGCCTGACTTCTTCTGGCGATGTTTTCCAGATGGAAAGGATGTAAGCCATTTTGAGACACAGTCATTCAAAACATAGAAACTAGTATTGCTAGATCTTTTTCATTAAAGACTGTATTTTGCCTAAATAAATTGACTGTTTTTCCAGGTCTATGATCGATGGGGAAATGTTGTCTGCCACGGTGACAAGTGTCACAAGGGAAGAGCATAGGAGTTTTCCTAGCG